TTTTTTTTTTTTTTTTTTTGTATTCACAGACCAGATTTATTACAGATGGTTGTCGAGGGAACGGAAGTGGCCCCGATGGAGCACCTGGAGGGCAGGGGCATTGAGGGAGGGAACGGAAGTGGCCCCGATGGAGCACCTGGAGGGCAGGGGCATTGAGGGAGGGGACGGAAGTGGCCCCGATGGAGCACCTGGAGGGCAGGGGCATTGAGGGAGGGGACGGAGGTGGCCCCATGGGAGCACCTGGAGGGCAGGGGCTGTGAGGGAGGGAATGGAAGTGGCCCCATGGAGCACCTGGAGGGCAGGGGCATTGAGGGAGGGGACGGAAGTGGCCCCGATGGAGCACCTGGAGGGCAGGGGCATTGAGGGAGGGGACGGAAGTGGCCCCGATGGAGCACCTGGAGGGCAGGGGCTGCGAGGGAGGGAATGGAAGTGGCCCCATGGGAGCACCTGGAGGGCAGGGGCATTGAGGGAGGGAACGGAAGTGGCCCCATGGAGCACCTGGAGGGCAGGGGCATTGAGGGAGGGAACGGAAGTGGCCCCATGGGAGCACCTGGAGGGCAGGGGCATTGAGGGAGGGGACGGAAGTGGCCCCGATGGAGCACCTGGAGGGCAGGGGCTGTGAGGGAGGGAATGGAAGTGGCCCCATGGAAAAAAAATAAAAAATAAAAAAAAATAAAAAATTACAGATGGTTGTCTTCTTAAAATAATTTCCCAGAGGTAAAATGACCATATCAAAGAATATGAATATTTTCAAACTGATTTCCAAAAAGCTTATACCAATTTATATTCCCACTGGCAACAATTAGAAGGTCCCATTTTATCATACTCTCACTTAATTTTGAAATTTATTCACTCATTAAAAAAATTATATATTTTAAAGTTTATCTTAAATATATGTACAAATATCAAGTTTACAGATTTTAAATTTTCCTCATTTTACTTCCTATTTATAGTTAACTCTTGAACAACATAAGTTTGAACTGCACAGGCCTACTTGTATGTGGATTTTCTTCTGCCTCTGCCACCCCTAAGACAGCAAGACCAACCCGTCCTCTTCCTCCTCCACCTACTCAGTGTAAATATGACAAAGATGAAGACCTTCATAATAATCTACTTCCACTTATCAAATAGTAAATATATCCTCATAAATATATACACACAAACATATATATACACATATACACACACTTTTTTTTTTGAGACAGGTCTTGCTCTGTTGCCCAGGCTAGATGCAGTGGCACAATAATAGCTCACTACAGCCTCTACTTCCTGAGTTCAAGCGATCTTCTTGCCTCAGCCTCCCAAGTAGCTGGGACTAAAGGTATGCACTACCACCCTGAGCTAATTTTTCTTTTTGTAGAGAGAGGGGCCTCCCTATGTTGCTGAGGCTGGTCTTGAACTCCTATCCTCAAGTGATCCTCCTGCCTCAGCATCCTGAGCGGCTAGGATTGTAGGTGCAAACTACTGTGCCCTGATTTTATTTTTTCTCTAGTTTACTTTAAGAATATAGCGTGTAAGGCCGGGCGCTGTGGCTCACGCCTGTAATCCTAGCTCTTGGGAGGCCGAGGCGGGCGGATTGCTCAAGGTCAGGAGTTCAAAACCAGCCTGAGCAAGAGCGAGCCCCCGTCCTACTATAAATAGAAAGAATTAATTGGCCAACTGATATATATAAAAAATTAGCCGGGCATGGTGGCGCATGCCTGTAGTCCAGCTGCCGGGAGGCTGAGGCAGAAGGATCACTCGAGCCAGGAGTTTTGAGGTTGCTGTGAGCTAGGCTGACGCCACGGCACTCACTCTAGCCTGGGCAACAAAGCGAGACTCGTCTCAAAAAAAAAAAAAGAATATACGGTAACATAATACAACACATAAAATATGTATTAATCAACTATGTTATCAATAAGGCTTCTAGTCAACAGGAGGCTATTAGTAGTTAAGTTTTGGGGGAGTCTAAAGCAGATCTTCAACAGTATAGAGGAGGCGTCCTCAAACTACGGCCCTTGGGCCACATGTGGGCTGCCCAGGACATTTATTCGACGTTCTGGGTGTTTTTGCTGCCGCTGCCGCTGCCTGTCCTACTTAGCAGCCGACTCGTCCCAGGCCCATAGTGCACACTCTCCAACGGTATGAGGGACAGTGAACTGGCTCCCTGTTTAAAAAGTTTGAGGACCCCTGGTATAAAGGGTCAGTGCCCCAAGTCTCAAGTTGTTCAAGGGTCAATTGTATTTACAGAGAACATAAACACTTTTCAACTATCTTCTTTTAAATATGTCCATAGATAGCCTTTGCCCAATTACATTTTAAGCAGTTATCTTTAAAGTTTCTAATTATTACTTTGCACAAGCATTTTATATTAAGGATAGTAATCCTTTCTCAGACATTTGTTGTAATAAATGGGTAAAATATCTAATAAACAATTAAAAAAAAATCAGCCTCCCTATCAAAAGATCAAGAGGGGGTTCTCCTTTTCTATTACACAAAATACATATTTTTATTTTTAAATATTGGCATTTCTTCCCAGGCAAATAAAATCCAGCAATGTTATGCCTTTCATATAAAGATTGAAGTAGATATAGACTAAAGGTGGCTCCTGTAAATCTAAAATGGAGTCAGTCTTGCTCTAACTATTAGTAAAAGGTCCCAGAGGAGGGAGGAGGTAGTTGAGGAGGCCTGTTCCCAAAAAGAATAGAGAGGTCCTGTTCCAGGAAAAGTCCCTTGTCCCTCAATGTACCTTTCCATTGTTCACTTGATTAACAACTAACCACAAAGTTCTGCTACTGTGATTGCTCGCTTGCATAGCTGCCAGCCCCTAGGGTATAAGAAAACAGCAAAGGCTTTGTTCCGGGCTGCTTCTCCCTCCTTGCATGGAGTGGTGACAGCCTCTGCGCAGGTATCAATAAACTAATTTGACTGATTGGATTCCGGTGTCCGAGTCCCCTTGATCCGCTGGTTTACAACAGATAATATTTAAGTGCTTTTACTGTGATATGTAATTTTCTCAATCAACGTCCATAATAAAGATGCACTTTCAGCTTGGGCATAGTGACTCGCACCTATAATCCTAGCACTCTGGGAAGGCAAGGCAGGAGGATCACTAGAGCTCAGGAGTTCAAGACCAACCTGAGCAAGAATCAGACCCTGTCTCTACTAAACAGAAAAATTAGCCAGGCATGGTGGCATGCACCTGTAATCCCAGCTACTCATGAGGCAGAGGCAGGAGATTGCTTGAGCCCAAAGTTTGAGGTTGCCATGAGCTAGGCTGACACCACAGCACACTAGTCCAGGTGACAGAGTGAGACTGTCTCAAAACACATAAAAATTAGGCCGGAAGTGGTGGCTCATACCTGTAATCCTAGCACTCTGGGAGGCTGAGGCAGGCAGATCACTCAAGCTCAGGCAGGATTTCGAAACCAGCCTGAGCAAGCGCAAGAGCAAGACCCTGTCTCTACTAAAAATAGAAAGAAATTAATTGGCCAACTAAAAAATATACAAAAAATTAGCCAGGCATGGTGGTGCATGCCTGTAGTCCTACTCAGGAGGCTGAGGCAGGAGGATCGCTTGAGCCTAGGAGTTTGAGGTTGCTGTGAGCTAGGTTGATACCATGGCACTCTAGCCCAGGCAACAGAGTGAGACTCTGTCCCCCCCCAACCAAAAGAAATTTAAAAGATGCACTTTAACAATCAAATAAACAACTCAAAAAAGTTTTGAAGCCCAATTGTAAATGTAGTCCTTTAGCAGAATCAAAAGACATTATGATGGTTCAAAGGCAAATTAATCAAAAGGAGAAGAAAAAGCTTCTCATTTTTAGAACCAATAAGCTACTGATTTGAATTAAGTTTAAATTATATAAGTTAACCACACAAAAGGATAATGCTAGAGGGAAGTTCATGGTGTAGAATCATCCTTTCGTTTTGGTTGAAAACCGCACAGCAATTTTGAGGGGTTATAACTAAGATTTAACAGCATTACAATTCTAACAAATAACTTAAATCAGAGATCTTGAGATAAATATAAAAATTTCATGGATATTCTAGAACTCCAGTATTAACACTACAAATAAATACAAGCCTACATCTATTGCCAATAACTCAGATGTTTCTTTCTAATGAATTGACCATTACATTTCCAAAGTTCTGAAATGGCCAACAGACCATAGAAAGATAATTCTTTAGGCTCCTGTTTGAAACCAACAGCTTCAGCAAACTGCTGGCCTTGATTCAGGGCCAAAGGAAAACAAAACTTTTAATTAAGCATACTAGCACAGAGATTCCCACTAGCCCTCAGTCTAACTAGCAAATCAAGCTGGAACAGGTGCCCAGTAAAAAGATACGGGTAAGGCAGTGTCTGGTCATTGGAAGAGACTGATTGGAACAACGAACATCATCCACAAAGGCCAAGCACCTCTGACTGGAACGAGTGGTATGAGCCTAAAATGGAAAAAACAGATAAAACCAACCAACCAACAAAAGAACATACAATTATGACAATACTTAGTTATATAAGAAAAATACACCCTTAAAGGCTAGAAAATTCAACATTTAACAAAAACTAATTCACCATTATGCAAAGAAAAACATTTAAAACCTCATGTATAAAGAATGAACCAACCTTAATCCCAAATATACCTGTCCCGTGTTATAAAAGTATGATATAACTTAATAATTTTCAAACTAGTCTGTCTTTTAGCAGAACCCTTTTTTAAATTGTAACCTTACATGGACCCTCAACAAATAAAACAGATAAAAATAAAATTAGTCTTACTGAAGCAGAGACCAAGAATTTGAGAAACAAATTTAAGAGTGCTCACTAAACTCTTCTTCCCAATAACCTTTCTTCCTGACATTCAATTGCTCCTATTCTACCTATCTTCCCACCTTTTAAGACAAAACTACCACACAACTTAGGCTTAACCTGTGGTATTCCTGAACTGAAGAATACCTGAACCAAAAAGATGTAGAAATCTTTCTCAACCACTCAATTTGTAGATGATAATACTAAAGCATAGAGCTGGTCTGTAGGGCATTGAGACTAGAACCCTATGTCTCCTGACTTCTAGGTAGGTGCCTTCACTATAACTCAAGAACAATTAAGTGAGGTTTCAGAGCCAGGACTGGATAATATTTTGATAATTATCCTAACTCTGTAAACAAAGTGAATGTATATATCCTAGAGGTATATACACAAATTACCTGTTGGGCGGCACCATCTGTGGCCAGCATTCTGCGTTCCTTCAACTGCCTGTGTAGTAAGGCTTCCACTCCATATCGCTGGCGGTATCGCCGGAGACACTTTAATCGCTTCAAGTTTTCTCGTTCTTTGGCCAAAAGTCCCTCTGGGCCAGTCAGGAGACTACTACCTAGAGAGTTACAAGAGTCAAGATGTTATCTGTCAAGAAACCCTTCAAGTATGCTTCTCCAAATCAACAAGTAAACAAGGAAATCTTTGACTGTAAGATAGGTAGTTTCAAAAGCAAATTCTCCTTCATTCTAGGTACCAAGGCAGAAACAAATCTAATGACAGTAATGTATTGCATAACCTTTCAGTCAATGAAGGATCCCTGTTCTGTGGTAAGCAGGTGTATACAAACCTACCCCCAAAGTCTGAGGAGGCTGAGAAGCCAAAGAAAGAGAGTGAAAAATCCATTTTCTCAGAAAGAAACAATAGGGACTTACGAACAGAAGCCATGTCTCCAACAGCAGTACAAGATGATGATGGATCCCTGTACCCTCCACCCCAGGGCTTATATGATACAGGGAAGGAATGGGTAGGACAACCAAAGTTGACCCCTCAGAGAAAGGCAAGAATTCTCTGTGAATCTGCCTAAGGGCAGGATTTACATGGTAACAGCAAATAAGGCAGAAATCTTACAGGCATCCCCAGAACAGGGGTTAATGAGAAGTCAACACGGCAGATTGCATCCAAGATGGAGTTGCTTTAGCCTCCACAACTCCATATACAATGATGGTCCCTTAAGATTATAATGGAGCTTGGCCGGGTGCAGTGGCTCATGTCTGTAATCCTAGCACTCTGACAGGCTGAAGCAGGAGGACTACTTGAGTTCGAGACCAGCCTGAGAAAGAGTGAGACCTCCGTCTCTACTATAATTGGAAGAAATTATTTGTAACAACATTTTTTTAACTAGGCCAAAAAGAAAAAAAGGTTTTGGGGAACAAGTTAACATATAAAGTGGTTTTTATATAAAGCAGCAATTATCTTGTATATTTTGATAAGCAGCAGTACCAGCTTTCATTTGTAACAGAGTTTGTGGCATTGGAAGAAAAGGATTCTGTGATTTTTGAAGTGAATTATGTTATAAATGCAAAGAGAAGATAAAATATTAAAAAACATTTTCTAAAAAAAACAAAAAACAAAAAACACTTTACTTTTTAGCCAAACTAAAAATAGAAAAAAATTAGCCAGGAACAGTGGTGTGCGTCTGTAGTCCCAGCTACCTGGGAGGCTGAGGCAGGAAGATCGCTTGAGCCCAGGAGTTTGAGGATGCTGCGAGGTAGGCTGACGCCACGGCACTCTAGCCTGGGCAACAGAGTGAGACACTTGTCTCAAAAAAAAAAAAAAAAAGATTATAATGGAGCTGATTGCCTATTATCTCACATTTGTGGTAACGCTGGTGAAGAAATCTATAGTGATGTCATTCATATAAAAGTATAGCATATACAATTATGTGCAGCACACAACATTTGATAATGATAATAAACATCTATGTTACTGCTTTATGTATTTACTATGTTACATTTTTTATTGTTAGAGTGTACTCTTTCTCCTTATTAAAAAAAGTTAACTATAAAATAGCTTCAGAAGGCATTGCTATCCTAGGAGATGACAGCTCCATGTGTGTTATTAACCCTGAAGACCTTTCTTAAAAACTCCTTGGGTGAGGCTGGGCGCAGTGGCTCACGCCTGTAATCCTAGCACTCTGGGAGGCTGAGGCGGGTGGATTGCTCGAGGTCAGGTGTTCGAAACCAGCCTGAGCAAGAGCGAGACCCCCATCTCTACTATAAATAGAAACAAATGAATTGGCCAACTAATATATATAGAAAAAATTAGCTGGGCATGGTGGCGCATGCCTGTAGTCCCAACTACTTGGGAGGCTGAGGCAGAAGGATTGCTTGAGCCCAGAAGTTTGAGGTTGCTGTGAGCTAGGCTGACACCACGGCACTCACTCTAGCCTGGGCAACAAAGCGAGACTTTGTCTCAAAAAAAAAAAAAAAAACAAAAAAAACTCCTTGGGTGAAAAAATTTTAAAGAATTACAAAAAAAAACAAACCCTTGAAGACCTTACAAATAGGGCAAGATGTGGAAGTGGAAAACAATAGTAATGATTCTGACTCTGTGTATGCCTAGTCTAATGTGTGTGTTTGTGTCTTAGTCTTTAACAAAAAAGTTTAAAAAATAAAAAACATTAGAAAATTTTTAAATAGAAAAAATCTTACAGAATAAAGGCATAAAAATATTTTTGTAAAGCGGTACAATGTTTTAAGCTAAATATTATTACAAAAGAGTCAAGAAGTTAAAAAATTTTTAAAGTATAAAAGTTACAATAAACTAAGGGTAATTTATTATTAAAGAAAAGTTTTTCATAAATTTACTGTAGCCTAAATGTAGTGTTTATAAAGTCTATAGTACTATGTAGTACCATCCTAGGCCTTCACATTCACTCACCACTCAACTGACCAACTCAGAGCAACTGCTAGTCCTGCAAGGTCCATTCATACTAACTGCCCTAATACAGGTGGTACCATTTTTTAACCCTTTATACTGTATTGTAACTGTACCTTTTCTATGTTTACACATACAAATACTTACCATTGTGTAACAAGTGCTCCCAGAATTCAGTATGGTAACATACTGTACAAGTTTGTAGCCTAGAAGCAATAGGCTATCCCATATAACCTAGGAGTGTAGTAGACTATACTATCTAGGTTTGTATAAGTGCACTCTTTGAGGTTCAAAAAATAACAAAATCACCTAATAACGCACATATCCCTATCAATAAGCAACACATGACTTTACTACCAAAATCACATGTTGAACCCACAATAACTTGTTGAAAATGTCATACAACTTGCCTAGAGCTTCATGTTCCACTTTGCGATTATGTAAGTACCGGCGCTTCTTTTCCTTGAGCAGATGCTGAAGTCGTTTAAACTGATCGATGTACAAAGACTGCAAACGAATTAGCTTCTCACGCATAATCAGAGCCACTTCTTCTGCTGTGTAGACACCAGCATGTCTGGAAAAAGAGAATTCAGCAAAACATAAGAAAACACAATACTAATAAAAATCCAAGCTTAAAAGTAGAAAATGGGGAATAGTCATTCTATTTTTCCAGAATGAGATGATGAGGAGATTGCCTGATCAAAAAAGAAAAAAATGTAGAAAAGGGTAGTACGATTAGACTTAGGGAACATGTTTCATTATTTTCCCCAGTTATTTATTTGTATTATGCCTAAAAGAAGTGAAGATAAGGAACACTATAAATTTTTATTAAATCTACATTCTTATTCCACTTAAATAACTTAATATGGAATCATCACTTACCAGTCAGGACAGCTTTAAAGTGTTCAATTAATTAACATGTATCTTGGTTTTTTTTTTTTGTGCCAAACCAGAAAATGCTGAAATTAACATGTATCTTAACATATTCTAATTAAAGCACAAAAGATACCAACATCAAGTTGATTAAAACTTGTAATTTTTAAAAAAACACATTTGTTAGCCAGGCACAGTGGCTCACACTCATAATCCTAGCACTCTGAGAGGCCAAGGTGGGAGGATCCCTTGAGGTCAAAAGCTCAAGACCAGCCTGAGCAAAGCAAGACCCTGTTCTCTACTAAAAAATATAGAAAAAATTAGCCAGGCATGGTGGCGCATGCCTGTAGCTACTCAGGAGGTTGAGGTAGGAGGACTGCTTGAGCTCAGGAGTTTGAGGTTGCTGTGAGCTAGGCTGACGCCACAACACTCTAGCCTGGGCAACAGAGTGAGACTCTGTCATAAAAAAAAACCCATGAGACAGAGAAATACAAGACTTTGGAATGACAACATTTTTATGTTTCTACAACTTGTCAATCATGGGTTAAGTGAAGAGCAGAACCTTAGTAAGATGTAATTGGGATGATTACTCACTTCTGGATTTCTAAATCAGTTTTTCTTAGGCGAGACTTTGGTTTCATGAAATATACCTTTGTATTTTTCTTTAAAAAATTTCATAAAGGGCTGGGCGCAGTGGCTCACACCTGTAATCCCAGCACTCTGGGAGGCAGAGGCAGGAGGATTGCGCAAGGTCAGGAGTAGGAGTTCGAAACCAGCCTGAGCAAGAGCGAGACCCCGTCTCTACTATAAATAGAAAGAAAATTAATTGGCCAACTAGTATATATAGAAAAAATTAGCCGGGCATGGTGGCACATGCCTGTAGTCCCAGCTACTCGGGAGGCTGAGGCAGAAGGATTGCTTGAGCCCAGGAGTTTGAGGTTGCTGTGAGCTAGGCTGACACCACGGCACTCACTGTAGCCTGGGCAACGAAGCAAGACTCTGTCTCAAAAAAAAAAAAAAAATTCACAAAGAAACGATAAATGTTTAAGGTGATGGATATAGTAATTACCTCGATTTGATCATTAAACGATGTGTACATGTGTCAAAACATTTTGTACCCCATAAACATGTACAACTGTAAACTAAAAATAAAACTTTTAAGAAAAATCCATAAACACAGAATTCTGCAAAATAAGTAATTATTCAAGTACAATCACCTCATTATTCCTGAGTTTTAGGCCGCCTATTCACATTGATTTTCCCTTCTCTGGTCTGAGCATTTTTCAACTTATCTCCCACATTCCCATCTTCAAATGTCCTATTTTCTCCCTTGCACTTTGTCTTATGTAGAATTTGGTGTGCAAAATTTTTCCAAATTATAAGGCTTCTAAAAAAGAATCAAATCCTGCTTTGAGGCAAGATGATAATGAACCATCATGATATACAACAGTTTTTACTGCTCACAGTTATCTTTGACCCTCCTAAATTACTGATCTATTAACAGCATAGCATGCAGCACTACATTCCATATACTAACTACATAAGATATTCAAAAGCCTTATGTGGAGTTACAACTTACTTTAGGGGATCTTCTTGATCACTGTCTATGCTATCAGCTTCACTGTCAGGGTCACCTCTCCATGTCTGATCCACAGTAATGGGTTCCTGCTCCCCATCACTCCAGCTGTCTTCATCTGAGGCAAGGAAGGGAGAGCAGCCATTAAGACTTCCCACCTCTGTAACTCCACCACACCAAACTAGATTACTTAACATATTAATCCAAACCTTAAAATTAAAAAAAAAAAAAAAAAAAACTTAGTACAAAGGCACTGGCAAATAAAAATGCTTAAAATACAACCCTGGTGAGATTATTTACAACATAAATAGTTAACCACACCCTCTCAAAAGGACAGAAAAGCCAATCTAAAAATTATTCTTGTTTCCTAAAATTACTTTACCTAACAAAGCTGTTAAGCACAAAAACAGCAATGAAGGAAAATGTCACCAACTCAGGGGAGTAAACCTAAACAAATACTACTTCAAATTCAAAAGAACTGGTAAACAACATAGCAATCCTGGAATGCTCACTGAAGTCCCAATGAATAAAAAATAACATTGCCAAATATATTCAAGGTACTGTACTAAATTAAACTAAGTTCTTTCTTAACCTTCGTCCTCCTTTTTCATTCTAGGAGACAAGATCCTTACCCAGTATTCGGCTGGCTTCACTGCGGCTACTTTCTGGAGTCTGAGACCCCAGCTCTGTCTTAGCATATGAGCTCAGCTGGCATAAGAGTGTTTCACCCATAGGCCCTGGGTTGGTCTTCTTCATTTGAGCATGAAGTGCCAGGGCATTCCTACGGGCATGTTCAGCACAGAAGGACACCCTAAAGAAACAAGACATTAATAGTTACAGGTCCCTTCTTGAAAGGGTTCAGTGATTTCCTTAGTCCCAAATCTTTAAATCATTTTTAGGAAATTAAAGTGTCTATTATATTCATTTCTAAAAAGGCCAGTTTAGTCGAAGGAATTTAACTGACCCAAGGTCAACTCATTTGATGTTATTAAAGGGAAATGCAGGCAGTGATATCCAGTGCTTCACCAAACAAAACATTCCAACTATAAAAATGTTGACATCATCTCATAAACCATGCACCCTTTCATCTTTCAAAACTGGTTCTGGAAGGCTACGCAATATTTTAATATCAATCCACTGTAGGTAGTAAGATGTAGGACACAATTTTAAAACTACAAGATATCATCTAGTCATTACGTTTTTGCATGGATACCTTTGTGTATATGATGAAACCTATGAAGTCTCTTCCAGAAGAATACACACATATACAATTTTGCATGTTATTTAACAAAGTTCATGGCCAGCCAAAAGAGCCATGTATCCCTGCATTAGAAATAATTTAGAATATCCCTTCATTTTACAGATAAGGAAAAAGATCCAAAGAGAGGAACTAAGTGACCCAACTCAAGTGTCCTAAAAGTTTTCACCGTCTCAATGTTTTTTAATTTTCAAAAGATATATCCATAACCCCAATTTTAAAAGCACATGACCTAAAACTCGGCAGCTATGCTCAAACCCATATCATATCATATCCTACTCTCACTTTAAGACACACATATCTCTATACATATACATACCCATCTTTCTTCTCTGGCTTTGGGGCAGCATTGGGACATCTTTTTCCATTCTTCGTCGATATATAACTACACTGCTTGAAGGGTGCATTCTTGTCTTCAAGGATATGCTTAATGCAAAACTCCTGCCCCTCGAGACGAGGTTGAGAGCATGGGCGATGAGTGAAAGAACACGACAAGGGCTCCTGAGATCTGGACACTGGGGTGATCCTCCCCCGATTGGTTGGCAAGACGTGAATCCGAATCCTGTTCATACCAAAACCTGCAGAGTCAAACGAAAGATCAAAAAAAGCCCTCACCCTTCCTGAAAATTCCTCCTCTACAATATCCAGAGGGATCGCAGATAGTTTCTACAGGACCGGCAGAAATTGGCCCCGCAGCCTATGCTCCTTAACTCCTCACCGCCCTCCCCCAAGTCTTCACAGGCATTTTTGTGACTCTTCCTCCCCTTAACTTCTCCCATCGGGCCCAGAAGATACGTTCAAAGTATCTTCAGCACTCCCGACTGCAGCACGGGCGGAAGCTACAGCGCCTGCCCCACGAGGCGGCCACGCCGCAGCACCGCGCCCCGCCCCCTCCTCTCCGCACGCCGCCTTTGTCCCGTCCCGCCTCAGAGATCACGACTGGGCCAGGCCAAGCCTCGGCTGCCCGTGCGAACGCCATTTTGTCCTAAAGCTCCAGTCACCGGAGAACCTGGCTCCTGGAAGCCTGTAGGAAGGAGATTGATTCCGACACTGCTTGAGGCGAAGTAGCACCTCCGAGCCAACAGAAAGCGAAGAAGCAGCCTAACCGCAAGGTCTAAGAGCACGCAGCACCGCCATCTTACCTCGGGCGCCGCGCTCTGCCGCGCCAGCCGCTCTTAACTCGGCCCCGCTCCTTTCCGCGCTCCTAACTGCTGATTGGATACTGCTCCGATGACGCTGCGTCGCCATTGGCCGAGGCCTGCTACCTAGCATATCTGGGAAGGCGGAGCTCTGAGAAAAGGCACGGCTGGTGTGGCTAAGACGAACTGTCTGTCAGCAACTCTGCCCAGAGGAGAGCGAGCCCAGAAGCCCGTCGCAGGGCTGGCTGCTGCGTGGATTGCAGGCTGCAGATATTTTCCATGTCATAGCTTGGCTCATTTTCAGGTCGTTTTTGGACCCTGGGTCTGTAGTCCTAGGCTGCTGCTCTCTTACCACTCATACACAGAGGCTAGAGAATCAGTGTACATTTGACTCTTACACATGAAAAAGATTCAGTTTTCTTTTATGAACAGTGTAATACATTTACTGAACATTTGATGTAGCGCACCGAGAAACATTTTTGGGGTGTGTACTATGATTAACGTAATGGAGAATTACATGTATAAATCATTTAATTTTTCACAGCAACCCTAAAAGGTAGAAACTATTACTTCCATTTTACAGAGAAGAGGACCGAGGAACATAATGGGCCTATAACTGGTAAATGGGAGGAAGAGGCGAAATTGAACACAGCCTCATCCTTTATCCCTTATCGCCTCTCATTTAGTAAACAGCATTGGACCGAGAATAAGGAAATATGAGTTCTAGTTTAAGCCCTGATTCTCTAAAATTCTCTACAACGCCATGCTAAGTAATCCAGATATTATAGAAATGACAGGCACAATACCAATTTTATCATCCTTTAAGGGTTTTAAGTTAAAAGCATCTCTCCTCTATCATCGCCACCACTTTGTTTTATAAAAATGATCCAACATTTTATTTGCATAACCCTTCTAGATATTTTTTACATCCCAACCTCCCTTAATCTGCTCATTGTCATTTTCATTTAAGCTATTTTAGCCATGATGAATGAGCAGGTGAACGTGATTAACAGTGGAGGTGAGTATAGAGAATCTATAGCCCTCAAGAAAAGTAGTACGTTTAGGGACAAGAAATGATTAAAACGAACAAAAGAAGGGTGTGAGGATAGTGCTGTTTCCAGAGACAGTCTTAAAACAAGGCCCTTTCCTGAAATTAATTGATTCAACAAATATTTATTGAACATCTAAGTACCAGGCACTAGGGATACAGGATAGAACAAGAAAAATAACCCTGCTCTCCAAAACTAGCTGGAAGCAGTCACATTACAGAATATTTGAGAATCAGAATCTGCAACCAACTGTGATAATATCAAAAAGTAATATTAAAACTACTCTAGGCCGGTGGCTTCCACCTGTAATCCCAGCACTCTGGGAGGCTGAGGTGGGAGGATCCCTTGAGCTCAGGAGTTCGAGAGGAGCCTGAGCAAGAGCCAGACCCGTCTCTACTAAAAATAGAAAAAATTAGTCGGAGTGGTGGCACATACCTGTAGTCCCAGCTACTCGGAAGGCTGAGGCAGAAGGATCGATTGAGCCCAGGAGTTTGAGGTTGCTGTGAGCTAGGCTGACGCCACGGTACTCACTCTAGCCAGGGCAATAGAGTGAGACTCTGTCTATAAATTAATTAATTATCAATCAATTAAAACTACTTTAGTGAACAATGTCAAGAGATACAGGAATAGAGATGCAACAAAGATTTTCCTTTAATGAGACGGTCTGCTGAAGGGCTTAGTTGAAAAAAAATCCTTCTGCTAAGTCCAAGACAGACAAAAAATTACTACTTAGAAATTTAAAAGTAAATTACTATTTACTTTGGTGTTTTTTTTTTTTTGAGATAGAGTCTCACTCTGTTGTGCCGGCTAGAGTGCTGTGGGTCAGCCTCGCTCACAACAACCTCAAACTCCTGGGCTCAAGCAATCCTTCTGCCTCAGCCTCCCGAGTAGCTGGGGCTACAGGCATGCGCCACCACGCCCGGCTAATTTTTTGTATATATATTTTTAGTTGGTCAATTAATTTATTTCTATTTTTTGGGTAAGACACGGCGGTTGGGGGGGGGTCTCACTCAGGCTGGTTTCGAACTCCTGACCTTGAGCAATCCACCCGCCTAGGCCTCCCAAAGTGCTAGGATTACAGGCGTGAGCCACCACGCCCGGCCCATTCAGTCTTTATGCAAGGCCCTGTGGTATCTGGCTTTCTATTGCCTTTCTAACCTCATATCCTGTGACTCCTCCCCTCACTCATTTCCACACCAACTACTCTGGCCTCCTTACAATTTCTCAAACATGCCAGTATATTTTTATCTCAGAACCTTTGACGTTTCAGATGTTTCCTGAGATAATGCTGGAATGATCTTACCCCAGCTAGCCAATGGCTTGCTGTGTCACTTCCTTCAGGTCTTTGCTAAAATGTAACCTAATGAAGCCTTCTCTTGCCACCTTTTTTCTAATTGCATCAATCCTTCTCACCTACACAAACACACACACACTCCCTCCCCATGCCCTTTTCTCTGCTTTACATTCTCCAAAGTACTTATCACAACTTAACATACTGTATTTTACTTATCTGTAAATTCTTTGAAGGCAGAATGTTTTCTTACTGACATATTGCCACCAATAAACAGTCCATAGCACTTAGAAAGGTATATTTGATATTCAATTTTAACTTTTTTTTTTTTTTTGAGACAGTCTCACTCTGTTGCCCCAGCTAGAGTGAGTGCCGTGGCGTCAGCATAGCTCACAGCAACCTCAAACTCCTGGGCTCAAGCAATCCTTCTGCCTCACCCTCCCAAGTACCTGGGACTACAGGCATGTGCCACCATGCCCAGATAATTTTTTCTATATATATTAGTTAGCCAATTAATTTATTTCTATTTATAGTAGAGACTGGGGTCTCGCTCTTGCTCAGGCTGGTTTCGAACTCCTGACCTTGAGCAATCCGCCCACCTCGGCCTTCCAGAGTGCTAGGCTTACAGGCGTGAGCCACCGCACCCACCCAATTTTAACTTTTTACCACTGTGGTTTGTTGGTTATCTGTTGGTCTTGAGCAGTTATGTGAAGGGGTTGAGATTTCACAGTACAAAAAAAAGTAGCACAAGTAGGACAATGTGACAATTCATAAACTAAATCAATTTAGCAAAAAGGGCTCCAGAGCCAGAGATTACTATTAATACAGCCTCTAAGATAAGAGAATCCACAGGAGTCTCAAAGGCTTCAAACATTCTACAGAATGTTGAGTGGTAGAGATCCATGACAATCTTATTGAGCTCTCAGTGTCCAGGAGACCCAGATATGTTGTAAGCATTAGTCATTAAAAGGAAGTCTAGCTCTATATTGATTAGTTTAACACACCCTGTAATTAGGGCTCCAGCTGTACTTAAACTTTAAATTGATTTACACCTCATCTATTCCGAGAATAAACCAGACCAGAATTTCTAGTCATCAACTTCCATAACATTTCAGATAACATACATATATGTATCTTAGATTTGTATTTCTGAAATTATATAAATATACATATTTTAGAAATAGGAGAAAGAATGAAAAGAACTCGTGACTTTTTTCAGAAGTATGTCTCACCCTGTTAAATTTATATTTTTTTCTTTTTAAAGCTTTCAAACTATAGCTACTGCTAACTTTGGGTTATAAATTTGGAGTACGTCAGCATAAAAGTTCTTTCCCTAAGTGAGTAATGTATAAGATTTACCTCACAGGTGTGGTTTTATTATGTCCCAGGACAAGTATTCACCATCAGTTTTTCTGGGCACCATCAGGATGTTAATTTTTTCAGCATATTTTCTTCCAAATATATTGCCATCTCTAAACACTTCAAGTTTTTCAAAGAATCAAAGATACGATTATGAATTGTATTAATAGTGCTTGCTAGATAAGCAGTACATGTTGCTATCATCTGTTAGACCTATAATTTTTTGTGTGTACAAGTTACTCTTCCAGGTATTCATTCAACAATAAAGAGTGAGTTTTTTCCCTTTGACTACAACATAATTTATACTACCAGGTTCACTGTGATGACCAATCTTTAGGTCTTTCCTGTGGACTCAATTTCCACAGAATCTTACACAAGAAAGAATATACTAATATCAAAATTGAAGCAAAATTAGAATATAAATAAAATGACAAAGACTAAGGATAATATGAAGACTCAGTATACATAAACAACAATCAGATGAATGTTTTATCATTAACGTTTATTGATGGGATGGATAAATACAGATTGAGAAACATACTTGACAGCAAGATATCAAACTGATAGCCAGACTATAAAATGTATACAACATCCTTTTTTAAAAATTTTTTGAATTTTTTACAAAGAGCCCTTACTTACATCCTATCATTCACATAACAGCAGAGATCCCAGGGGTAGCATCCAGAACTGAGGTGCCCCAAGGAGGACAGAGGCAATAGCAGAATATGCTGAGAAAGGACTCTTAAGAGCACTACAAAGATAACAGACAAAAATCTCACCACAAAACTGTACCTGAGTGACACAGATTGGTAAAAGTGTTTTACTTTTTTTTTTTTTTTCCTTTTTGCTCTTTGGTCTGATAAGAAAACGGACAGTTTTAGGTGTGTGAAGTAGGGTGGGAAAGGATCTGTTTCAAATTCAGAAACCTAGGTTAACACTAAGTTAGGCTGCTGCATTCTTTTCATTGGGTGTTTAAGCTAGCCAGCACTTTCACATAATCGCATTATGATCAACAACTAATCAGTTAGTTCCTCAGCTTCAACTGAAGAGTTCCTGATTACCTGATGGAGGACATACTTGCTCTGGCTTCAATTAGCATGCTGTCAAGCATCCCTCTCCATGCTTAACATGGCAACACAAAACCCAAGAGCCTTTCTCTTCATTCAACCATGAATACACACTCAAAGGAGAAGAACAGATACTGCTTTTTAGTAAACCTTCTTTTTCTTTCCCTCCCTTTTCCAATACCAAGTTCATATTAAAAACTTTAGCAACATTAAAAGGGAGAGCTCTTCCAAATAAAAAATAATTTCCATTCCAGACCACTCTATCAGGTAGGATTAGAGTACCATGCTTGTTTCAAACTCACATCCACAGAGGGGTAAAAAGACAAAATAAAACTTGTAAGTGTGGTACAACATGTATTTCCTAAACCATTAGAAGCAAACACTCAGTTAAGAGCTGGGTGTTAAGCAACGACTCAAAAAACTTGGGGAGGTATCAAAGACACCAAAAGCTTAGTGGAGGTTATTAGCAGAGTGCTATTTCTCACCACCTGATGGATTGCATAGACTGCTTAAATTCTCTCAAATCTGAAAGAATAATATTTGTATTCCCACTTCAAAATGTTCTAGACCTTCCCTTGTCCCAGCATTAGTATCAAAATAACTCAACAACAAAAGAAAAAAAATTTTAAAAATAATCAATTCCCCAAATAAGGGAAATACAAATATGTTTAAAACCCAACCATACTGGGTTACATAAGGCCCCTCTAATTGCCTTTTACCAGAAGCAAGGTATGAGGAGTACACATTTCAATATGAAGAATTAGATAGCAGAAGCTTAAGAAAACCCAGCAGTGATGTTACCATGATTTCTATAACCTAATCCATTGCTGTTGTTTCCAACTGGAGACTTAAAATTTTCTGTCAACACTGGTGAACCCAATAATACAGAACTATATCATATACACTAAAATCATTTTTAAAAAAGAAAACAGAAGTTAAGGAAATACATTGATTCATGAATGAGAAGATTAGACTAACACCTAAGTATTTTCTAAACTCCAAAAGCATAACTGATACTGTAGAAGACCAATTTGGCTTTAGATTAATGTTTCACCAGGGTTCTAACAGCAACACAGGTATCTGATTTAAAAACACTAAGAAGAATCCACAGGTATTTGTTTTTGTCAACATGAGAGTCAAGTAAAGTTTCAGGAATGAGATTTATAGAACTTGAGGCTCCAGGCCTACTTACCACCTTCACTTATCCTTGACAGTCTAAGCAAAAATAAGAAACAAAAGCCCTATTTACTAGACTAACTTTGGATGTAAAATTCCATTTCTTACCCTTTGAAGGTGTGAGGATAGGAAAGACACACACAGCTCAGAAACCACAAAACCCAAACTCAATTAAAAACACAGTAAGGTTTAAATGAGTTTATGGAATTTGGATGATACACATGCTAGCTGACAGGTCCGTCTGCTAACCCAAAGACAATACAGCAGCTTCATGAAGAACCTATAAGGAGTTTCATGAAATATGCATAGATCTAAAAGCAGATACTGTAGGTATCTTAAGACGGTACCAGGATGCATTAATACAAAAGATCTTTAAAGCGACC